GTTTCTCTCTAGTAGTTGTGTGGTGTGCATTACATATGCGTCAATTCCTCGCGCGCATACAGCTGCGGTTCTAAAGTGTTCCTTTTTTCGGGGGGAGTCAGTACGGCCTGCTGTTGTTTCGTTGCTGTTTCGCATCCTTGCACACCAGGTTATTGACAATACGACTAGGCGCCAGTCCAAATGCATCGCTGAACACTGCTCGACTTCGCTATAAGAAGGCTCTGTAAAGAACATGAATAGTTCCATACTTGAACCTTTGGTTAAAACAGGACACCAGACTCAAGCAAGTGACGCAGTACAAGTCTTGTACAATTCCGAAATGACACCACAAAAGACTTAGAAACGCTTATTCACAACATTTGAGGCCACTGAAAGGAGGGTTTTGAGACCAGAACTGTGCACACCGCGGACGCTGGGGCAATCCTTGGTAATACTTTGAGCAGGAACGCGTTCCAGCGAGAATTCCTCACCTCATACCTGACAGGGGACCAGCATTGTCACCGCGGATCTGTCTGCCCTCACCTACCGTGTGTGTTTTGTTCGAGCGGCTCACTTCGACTGACTTAGACGTTGGTCGCTAGCCGGCCATGCCAAGCCAATATATTGTGTGGATATCATGGTTCTTTCTAATTCAGACCTAGCATACATTAACCAATCGATTTTCTACTTTTGCTCTATGATTGTGAATGCCTGATACGATGTATGGAATGGAATATTCTTCGTGCAAATGAGATGAGAGATTGACAAGGATGTATGTGCTCTTGTTTGTGTGTACGTTTGTTGACGTATTTGCTATGTTAATTGTAGTAACTATCCATTTTGCTATAAATGTTCACGTGTCCTGTCGTAAGCACTTGAAATTATGCTTAGTATTACTTATGAATGGAAGGATTTTGGTGAGTATTTTTGTTCGTCGCCCCAATAGGGCGAAACGGCCGTATGGTGCTTTTCCGGATAGCTGGTCGACATATCTGAATTGTCGGCTGATTGCGACGAACAAAATTATGCTTAGTAATTTGTCCGGGATTCAATCGTAAGGTGCCTTGTTGTTAAGATTTTTACTGTATATTTCGTCAGTAATGAGTTGCTCCAATTAATTTTAGTTCTCTCTTAGAGAACCGTATTTGATTGCAAAACGGTAGTAACTCCAAATAATCCTAAAATTGCGCTCCTGACGGTTCCAAGTAGTCGGTGTTAGTTTCTCAGAAGGAATCTTCCACAGTGGTGCAGGAAGCTGCAACATGACGGTAATGTAACCCTCTCGCAGGCATGCTAAGCTTGGCCCGTAACATGATGGTCGAAGTGGAACACTCATCTGTGGTGTGGATCCGTACAATAAAGTGTTGCTACGTTACTGTGGCTAGAAATTCAGAAACAAGGAATCAGTGAAATATGGAAAGTAAAGAAAAGTCTTTGCCAACAATTTATATGATTTCTCGTGTTCACGATCATTATGTAAGTACAGGCGTGACAGCATCCTTCTCCAAAAAAGCCGCCAAAGCCGGAATTAGAAACCCTGTCCTTGCATGGATCAGAGACTTCCACCTTCAGATCATCATCAACAGCAGTACATCAGTCATTTGAACTGATGCTTCGTTGCCATACAACCAGGAGGACCTATGAAAAAAGAACAAGAAGAGAGAGAGAAGGGGGACTTATCTGAAAACTTTAATGCCCTAAGCAAACATTCAGGGACAAGGCGCCTACACCTTGTGTTGACAACATACTGTCACAAACAGTTGGCTATCGTGCAAAGATAAGGTGGCATCGGTGAGAGAGGTTCTTTGCGGCTCTCACTGTCACGCATAATAATCAGCCATTACCCCGCAGATAACTCAGCACCAAACACACTTTAAACAGACTATCCGATTTGGAGACGGTAGCAATCGCGCCAATGGTGTCGGTTGCGAGCCATGTCCTGTAATATCTCGAGCCAAGCACAAGGCGAGTCACGTGGACTCCAGCCCGGAAGGCGAGACGGACCAACAACACCCAGTTTGGTCGTCAATAACTTCATTTCCCGCTGCCAAGTCAACTTCTGTCCACCTCGAGCCTTGCGCCACCCTGCACCTGGTAGACTGAACAACGTCCTCCTAGGTAAGCGGTGACCAGGCATACGTAGCACGTGCCCGAGCTAAGGCAACTTATTCAGTGCTATCTGTTGTTCTAGGGAGCTAGCATGATTAGCACCACCTAGTACTCGCCTACGCACATCATCGTTGTGGACATGGTGGTGCCATCTGACACCTTCGAATACCGCTTTAGGTTCTAGATCGGGGCTCCTATTGTGATTCCATTGATGTGGACTGCGGTGCTACACAAGACTCAGTGTTGAGGCCGCGCTTATTGTCGTTGGTCAATAAAAGCCTCACGCATGTCATCGAATGAAATTTCCTGTCTTTTGCCAATTACAGCAAGATATGACACTGGAACTGTTGTCAGGACGATAACTAGATGCTGCAATGAGACTTAGGCTGCGCTTTAGAAAGTTCAAAGACAAATCTACTTCTGTTTAGCACAGACAAATGCATAACTATACATGTACGTTATTAGCCCAATAAAGCATATAAACTTGGGAATCACATATTGAAGACCACTTCACAGGAAATCGACATTGGCCTGGTGATGCGAGACGACCTTGGCTGTTCGGCGCAGTCATTGAAGGCGCTCAAAACCAGGAATCAACGTGTTTGTCTCTTATGGTGGACTTCCAGGAAGTTCTATCCTTCCATCTTCCCACAAATGCTCAATGCGTGCGTGATGCCCTGGCTAAAACGCGATCTGGTTTCAGTGGAAACCGCACAGCGAGAGGTAATCAAAAATATGAAGGGATTGTTCAATGCTGGCTGGTCGAACAACCTCCGTTTGTTGTCAGTTGGGTGATTATGGTTTAACCACTTCCAGCAAATAGTTCGGCGGCAATGTTTCTGGACGTGGTGGGTTTACGCCTGGCAAGTGTTCTCTTTATAAAATGCCATCAATGTCTGTTTAATAACACTGTGGCGTGCGCCACTAACTAAAGCCACTGCCCTTGCTTCCTCGGACAATCTTATCAAATCCACCGACTTCAAGAATTACTATAGACATTGGCGACACGATCAAACACAGTCAAAAGAACAGCGACACGTTTACAAACACAAGCAACACACCTACAAACCTACCTGCAGACATTCATGGATCAGCAAATGGGAAAACCTTATTATACTATTGCACATTACTTCAATACTGAATACTGTATTATAGGGCAAGCAGAAATGAATTCTGTACAAATCTTTCGAAATATGGTGCAAAATGTTATAAAATGTCAGCCGTGAATATCGTGAATATCTGACTCACGGTATTGCCGAACTTACAAATATGACGTGTCATCGTAAATGGGCAATCGTTCTCTGAATCGAATAGTGGTAAAATATAAATCAAACGTTTTGAACTGCTGCCCAGATGTTGCCTCCATTACATGTTCAGGCAAACTGTTCCAATTACTTACCACTCTCCTGTCGTGTTCAAATACTTTGCTTTGTTTTTGCCCTCCATTCGTTTATCCTACTCATACTTCTATTTAGCACTCGTTTGAGCACAGCTGCTTCCTTGCTAGACTCAGTTACATCCGAAACGCAAGAACGCCTCCGTAGATCGCATAACGTTATCATTTTTAACGTGCCTGATAAACCGAACATTAACAGGGTAACAAATACCCTCTTAAAAGCATGCAATATGGATGGAGTCTCCTGTCAGTGCCTCAGACTGAGGAAAAAGGAAAACATGACCACATGTCCGATACTCTTACAGTTTCCAGACCATAGGAGCGCATCTAAATTTGTACGCAGTAAAAGACTAGTTGCTGCACAAACTAATTTTAAAAATATTATTATCAAACACGGTCAAATGCCTCTTCAAAGACGATTAACAATGAAACAAAATCCCTCCACCCATCATATGCCCCATGTTCCTACTGATGAAGCCAGTACTGACGCTATCATCAGCAATGACGACCTTGACAAGTCAACCGCGTCGTCTAATATAGGCGATGATGGACATCTCAGTCTTCAGCGGCCTCATGAAATAATCTCAAATAGCAGTAGTGATGTGTCCAAAACTAAAACTACCTACCAAGCTGAAAATACAACGACGCAGACGCCTGCTGACCACACACTCAACTCCCCTATCCATTCTCCAAAGAGCGAGCCTTTACAAAAGTTTACAGTAACTGTACCTGAGAGCTATTGTGAGCGAGACAAAAAATCAGATTGTGACGTTGGCAGCCCGAAAAATAAATCTCAATCCGACCCGAATGAACTAAGCTATAGGTTATCTCCGACCAACCGAGGCGTAGGCAAAAACAGGGGAAAGCACTCTGCCAGAATTTCTCCCATAAGCACTCGAAGCTCATTAGGTCTGAAGCAACCACCACCAGAGCGTGGGCATATGCAGTTAGGCCAAGTGAGAAAAAGTATACGTCCTCAAGCCTCTACATGCAAAACCGACACTGTTGTCGGGATAAGTTGCAGAGAGCCGGCCCAATACTTACTCACAATGCCTCTGACTACGTTTCCAAATCCCGCGACCTCAAGCTGGCAAAGTCCTTATGTGTGCGACACCGAATTAGCAAACAAAAAGTTGATAGGCCACAAGGACTTACAGGTAAGAGGGTGCAACCCCTATCTACCTCAAGTCAAAATTCACCCACCACCACCCGCTGTATTACTCAATTGGCAACAATACAAACCGAAGCAAAATGAGTTCGTCGACTTCAGAATCCCCCCACCCCTGTATACTACGGATGTCAGTCCTTTTTTAGACTATCGCACACCACCGCTTCCTCCCCCACCAATCCTGCCCCTATCACGTGCGATTATGAATCAGAGATTAATCAAACTACTGGAGTATGTACTGCATTCAATCCAGTACGATCTGGAGCTCAGTGTGCCTCAGCTACCTCACAACACACAATTCTCAGATACAATGACGATGAAACAAACATTACCCACTACTTTCATTCCATGTTAACAATGTCTTTCAATGCTATCGTCATTAACATTCGTTCCCTTTTACCTAAATTAGATATACTTTCAACACTTATGTTTATGAGATCCCCCGATATTGCTTTTATCACTGAAACTTGGTGCACGTCAGAAATTAGTGATTCTCAGCTTAACATCCTAGGCTATAAGCTTTTCCGCAAGGATCGCTCGCACAAACGTGGTGGTGGCTATGCCATATATCTTCGAAATAACCTGACTGCTATTCCCGCAGACCAACCTGTGTTCATTGACTTAGAAGATACACTATGGCTAGTGATCCCATCTATTGATCTTCTAGTGGGTTGTATCTATCGGCCGCCCCGAACTACTCAATTTGCAACCCAAAAGCTAATCGATATGATCAATGTTGCTTCCAGCACCACATACAAATCCAAACTTATGTGTGGAGATTTCAACCTACCACATGTTAACTGGACGCTGCCTACACTCAGAAACACGACGGAGGTTGAGGAAATTATCGCATGTATCCAGCTCAATGGCTGGACTCAGCATGTTAGAGAGCCAACTAGAAGTGCTACTACCTTAGACCTTGTATTCACGATGGGAATCGCGAACGCTTATACATTCATTGATAATCCACTACCTGGCTGTGATCACAACACGGTGCTTTGTCATATGACTATTGATTTACCTAAACGACCAAGTAAAATGCTAGAACCCATTCGCAACCTCCATCGTGTGGACTGGAACGCATTTAATGAACTTATCAGTACCATGAATTGGAATACGTCATTCCTAACTCACAACCCTACTGTGGCTACAAATGAGTTTATAAACAATATTGCCCTTGTTGTGGATCTAGTAACACCTACTGTAAGGAGAAATACCCATGAACATAGGGGTGAACTCAAGCTTCTGTCCAAAGCCAAAATAAAACTAAAGAAACTCAAATCGATATACAGCAGGAACAACAGCTTCGCAACATTGCTACAAATACACGAGAACTTACTATATTTACAACGTCTAACCCTAACGGTCAAAACCAAAGAAGAAAGCCGGGTACTCAGAAATCCTGAGAAAGTACGTGCATTGATGCAACTACTCAAAAGAAGAAACCCTAAACCATTTCAGGAAATTGAAACGTTGGCTCTAGACGATGGTTCAATAACGCTTGACATCTCCTGTATATGCGAGGCCATGAACTCTAGTTTTGCCTCCTCTTTTGTCCCCAACATTCAGCCACTTCATCCTCCACTTCCAAAAAGAACGACCGAACTATACTGCAATATCCCTGTGATGTTAAGAGAGGTGCAAAGTGCCATCGCAGCCATAAAACCATCAACTCATCCAGGTCCAGATGGCATCGCCCCAACTGTTATAAAACTCGGAGGAAAAAACCTCGCACTATTGTTACTAAACAGTTTCACACTTTCACTCACTACCGGCTGCTTTCCAGCTCAATGGAAGCAATCTATTATGATGCCTAAGCACAAGGGTGGACCGAGAAATCAAATGTCAAGCTACCGCCCAATAAATCACACCTCTGCTGCTTCCAAAGCCCTAGAGCGAATAGTCAAGAAGAACATCGTCCAATATCTTACAAGACTGGATTTGATCAACCCTTCACAGCACGGCTTTCTCTCAAAACGCTCCTGCGTTACATGCCAGCTACAATTTCTCGATCACATCACGACTATGATTAACAGAGGAATGGCAATTATTATAATGCTGTTGGAATGCAAAAGGCGTTCGACGCGTGCCACACCAGCCACTGCTGTCTGCTCTAGAGTCATATGGAATTGGAAATCCGCTGCTTAACTGGTTCGACTCATACCTAAACGGTCGAACTCAGGTCGTTAAAATCTGTCAGCAACATTCTACACCGAAGCCAATAACCAGCGGTGTCTTCCAGGAAAGTGTGCTCGGACCGCTACTTTTCTTAATCTATGTAAACAATATATGTGACCCGATCAAACATGGACATCCATTTCTGTTTGCAGATGATGTCAAACTGGTTTACTCATTTCATCCAGATCAACTACATATGTGTTTGGGGAACATCTGTGAAGACCTATCCGCACTAAATATAGCTAGTGAGCGTTTATTAGTGAAGTTCTCCGCAGTGAAATCCCAAGTACTTGGGTACAGATGTCGCATCCCAGAAGGCTCCATTATACTTGCCGGAAACGTGATCCCAACGTCTGATTCAGTTCTGGACTTAGGAATTAGGTACTCCAACTCTTTCAATTTCTCCGAACGTGTTCTTTATCAGGTTGCGAAAGCAAAGCAGCTATGCGGATATGTCACCAGAACTTTCTCCCTACCTGAAGTATGACTTGAATCATTCAAGACAATCGTACGACCGACTCTGGAATATTGTACTATCGTTCACAGCCAAATGAGAAAGAAAGATAGAACGGCTCTAGAAAATGTCCAACGATCATTTACCAAGCTTCTAATGGGACGCTCCTCAAACCTGACTTATTATGATCGCTGTCGAAAACTCCAGCTGGATCCACTTTGGCTGAGACGCTTAAAGAACAACTTCATTCTCTTCCACAACATTATAAACCAACGAATTTACGCAGACAGCACCGCACTTGAACTACGAAAGATTGCAGTCTACCCCACACGTAATGGCGGCTACTTGATACATACAAACCTTCCAAGTCATAAAGTTCGGTTGAATTTCTTCTTAGTGAGATACACTTATCTGTGGAACAAACTACCCCTACAGATACGCATGTGTACAAACCATGTCACTTTTTGAAATCTCCTTCAGACCTTCCTCACTATACCAAATGCTCTGAAGATATTTGACTCACAGCAAACACTAGAATCATTGACAGAAGTTGGTATAAAAAACATTTGATAATAGCTTACAGCTAGCTTACCCACTACATGTCATTACATACCATACCAAATCCTGTGTCTTTGCAGCCTAATAGTCCCTTCCTTTATTATCTACTCCTGACGATACAAACATCCGTAAATTTTACATATGAGTTGCGCGGGTCTAGGACTCAACGAAAAGTAATCATGATCCGAAATGCTACCAATAAACTTTTCTTTGATGTTATGAAACGTGTTCACTATACAAATGATCGTTCCCACTTATGGGGCCGTGTACCGTCCGTTGGGAAATATACAAATTTATTTATTTATTTTATGTGATCTTGCATTTCATCATCATCATCATCATCATCATACACTTTAGCTAGAGGTGGGGAACACCTCAGCTACTGTGCCGCAATACAGAAAAAAAGGAGAGAGAGAAAAAAATGCAACTGGTGCAAGCTGTCTGAGCTACCGGTAACGGATGGGCATCGTTCCGGTAAGCTACCAGCCGGCAGCTGTGCACCAAAAAAATATTATGCAAAATTATATAAGGCTAAATAACGAGATCGTGGTTGGAGGGGGAGGCTAAGAGGGATGGGGTGGGACAAAGAAACTCACAGCACGAACGCCACTGAGGTCGGCTCCTTGCCATATCAGCAAGTGTGTCCAACCAAACGTGTTCACCGTCTTTCGGATCCCAACCAGGGAGCCGAGACGCTCCAACTGAGGCCAGCTCAGAAGTGAGGGCCTTCATTCCTCTGGACCAAGTCATCGCTTGGCCACCCCTCCTCTTCTTCCATCCACACCCCCGGCGCGCAAACAACACACGTCGCGGAAGTCGGTGGGCTGGCATGCGTAACACGTGGCCTAGCCATCGGAGCCTGATGCGTGAAATAACGGTGCTGAGCGGTTAAGTTCCTTTTCCTGTGCCATAAACAAGGCGTCGAACACGCTCGTTGCTCACGCGGTGTTCCCACCAAATGTGAGCTAAATTACGAAGGCACCGGTGGTCGAACGTAACTAGCCTCTTCAGGTCCGCTGCTTTAAGCGGCCAGGTTTCACAACCGTACAGTAGGGTCGAACGTACTGCTGCATTGTACATTTGATTGATTGCGATGCGAACCTCCATCGATTTAATTGTATTGCGCGTGTGAGCGGACAGTTTCCTCCATACATGCATTCCGGTGATGCTCTGGTCTGCTGCTTTTTCGCGATACAACAAATTGGCATCGCGTTTTATTGATGTCTTTGCATGCTACTGTCCCTTCACCGTTCTGCACTGGCTCTGCGTTTAGCCCAAATGCAGAATGCCGGGGAGACTGGAAAATTAGCTTTTCAGATTATATTTCTGTGCTACCAGTCTTCAATCCATCCGTGACGCTGAAAACGGAGGATAATTTAAAGCTTTTGCGCTTGCACTTCGGCTCAGATGGTCGATGTATATTTGATGCTCCGAACTTGCGGGAGAAACCCACGTTGCCAGAGGTCTTATAGGCCCTCGATATACATTGGGGTGTTCGAGTGAACACCTGCACTTCTTGGTAACATGTTTCGCAGCTGAAAGAAGCATCGGGTGAATCAGTGGATGCATTCATTTCCTGTCTTGTTTGTTCTGTCCGCAATTGTGACTACAATTGTATTCCCAGGAAGAAAGTGGAAGAAACCATGCTAACACAACAATTGATTTCTGCTCTCACGGATTCTCGGATCAGAGATAGTCTCTTAACGGAGAACGCAGAAAAGCTCACATGGGACAGGGCCTGTGACGTGGCTCGCACGAAGGTCGCAGTCACGGAACAAAACAAAATTTTCTTCGCCAATACAGGAGCTATTGAAATTGACCGTTTGAATTCCACATGCTCTCTGACATGATCCTCAGTTATAAATAAGTGTTACCATTGTGGAAATGCTGAACATGGTGCAAATGATAATTCATGTCCTGCAATGAGTGAAACCTGCCGGAATTGCGGTAAGACTGGTCATTTTGCTCGGGTTTGTCGTTGTCGCGCCATTGCTTTTGTTGATTCTGCAAATGACTCCAGAGCTTCTCCGGTCACCACTAAGCAATCCATATATGTCATTAATGAATGCAAACATCCACTTTCGTCTCCAACGCAAGAACACAAACTGCCTTCGCCAGATATTCGTCGTGTGTCTTTTGAACTTTGAAACAAAACCATTTGTCTAGACATGGAACTAGATTCCGCGTCACCGCTCACAATTGTACCATGTGGTTTTTACAAACAGCATTTTGGTCAGCTAAATGTACATCCTTTTGCTTACACTTTCAGCAGCTACTCCAATGATGATGTCCACATATTCGATTTGGTTACAATTTCAATGTTCCATATAAACAGCAGGAAGCGTATAGTTGAAGTTTACGTCTCTAAAACTGATGGTAAGCCTCTATTGGGAGGTAATGCCATAGTCTTATTAAACGTATTACCATGCGTCAGCCGGGTGACCATTGCCAGTATCAACCTTCATTAGTTACATTCCAGTTATCCAAATCTCTTTCTTCCGGATATTGGTAGAGTCCCAAAAGCAATGCACCGCATTCGGTTGAGCAAGGACTACAAACCATTCAGCATTTCTCAACCTACACCTGTACCAATAGCC